GAGAGTTTTAAAATACCAAAAATATCCTTGTATTAAGATTTTAATTTAAAATTACCAAATTTATAAATTTCCTAATTTATCTATTGATTTGTGGTTAATATTGGTTCTCACAGTTACCACAAACAACTCAGTTCTCCATTGAATAGGCCTATATATATATATATATAATTTCTATACATATATGTTAGCTTAAAAGATTACTGTGAAACAAGAACTTCTATTGGTGATCTATCATCTATGAAAAATATCGATCTTTCTATAAACAAACTCTTAGGCGGCATAGTCGATAGCATCGAATGTCCGAAAGGTATCCAAAAGGTTTTTACTGTGTTTCATCTGTTAAACAATTGTTGAGATGAATTTCAGCAATTGAAATTTTATGAAAATCAAGAGAATTTTGCAAAATGTTTGCACCTGATTTTACAAAAACAAATTATTGATTCAGATTTCAGACTTCAGACGTTAGTCAGTTTACAAAAACAAACAGTCTTATTGATTCAAAATTTAAACTTCAGCACCACTTCTTATCAATTAGAAGTGAAATAAGACTTCAGACTTTAACCATATTAAAAGACAAAAACCACCTAAGTGAGGTTAATAGATCAGCCAAATCGTAATAAGGTGGTGTTTTTTGATCAACTACTTTCAGATTCCACTTCCGATATCTAGATTTCGAACCACAAATATTTGTGGCGCGCTTTGGTGTGGTTTGGCATAAACCGCGTTGTATATGTGGTTTGAACATTTTCCCAAATCATAAACCGCACTGCATATACCTTAAATCACAAAAAGTTGGATTTGTATCTAATGCACTTTAAGCTTACAATCCAATGATTATAAGATTAAAACTTCATTATAAAATCAACAGAGAACATGATTATAGTCCAAACAAATATAAAGTTTAAAAGCGTCTAATTCCCAAGTAGATGTTACATGATAAAAATTAGTCGAAGTAAAAAATTTAACCTCAACTAAAAATGTTACATAAATTAGCGTAATTATTATTATATATATATATATATAGAGAGAGAGAGAGAGAGAGAGAGAGACTTGTGATACCACTTTTTTACATTTAAAATTCACAGTAAAACATTGTGAAAGTAACATTCACAATGTTTTTGCTGCGAAGGTTCAAATTTTTCCATCTTCACAATGTTTTGCCGTAAAGTTTGAAACGTAAAAATGTGGTCTGTCTAAAACAGGTTGGTCTCACGTGAATCCAACCACACACATATATACATAATGTGCGGTGCGATGTGGTTTGAACAACGGTTTGTCAAGTCAAAACGCAAACAACATCGTATAATGCGATTTAGTAAAAATGCAAACTGTAAAACACACTGTAGAAGTTTTAAACCGCAATTTGCGGTGAGGTGTAGTGTTTGCAGTTTAGATGAACACCCCTCTTGGATGCCCAGGGGCGGAGTAATTTCTTAGGTTGCTTGTCTCGATGCCGTTAGATCTTTTCTTCTTTCGTACTGTTTCTAATCGTCTTCTTTTAGTATCACGTTCATTTTCCTTTTTAGTTTTTCGCGTCTTGTAAAAAGAATCTTTGATTGTTATTATAATTTTGTGTTTTCTTTTTATAAATTTGCTGTTTTTCGAGAAACAAAACTAAAATTACGATACGAGCTAATGATTATTAAGAAGTTAAAATATACATATTCACTGTGTGAAACAATTGAAATAATCTTTTGTATTTTTTTAAATGAATGTTAAGATAAAAAGAAAAGTCTAAAAAAAACCCAACAAACTATGTGATTTTGAACGATTAACTCTTTAAATTATTATTTTTGAATGAAAAACCCTTAGGTTTTTTAAAACTGGTTAAATACATCCTTATAACTTGTAAAAATAGGTTAATACGATAAAATTTTGGGAAAGTCATAAAAATCCCAAGAAATTATCTAATTTTAAATGATTAAGTCCCTAATTTTTTAAAATTTAAATCCCTAAATTTTTTCTAAAACTTTTTACCAAATAAGTTCTTGAACTTTTTTTGAACAAATAAGTCCGGAACTTTTTTGAATAAAATCATGAACAAAAATATATATACAATTTTTCTCACCGGCAATAAAATACAATGAACTAATTAAACAGAGAAAAATTATACTGTTTAGTTACTAATTCCAAAGTATACAAAAGTTATGTTTAACGTATAAATTAAGTTTTCATTAACTTGATTTTTTTACATATAAATATTTTTGTATATATCTATTTATGTTTTAAGTATAACTCTTGTATGTTTTAGAATTAGTAATGAAAATGGTATATTTTTTTTCTCTGTTTAATTGGTTCATTGTACTTTGCACTTGGTAATATAATTTTTTGTTCATGATTTTGTTTCTAAAAAAAGTTTTGGATTTATTTGTTCAAAAAAAGTTTAATAATTTGTTTGGTAAAAAGATTTAAGAAAAAAATTAAGGATTTATTTGTTAAAAAAATGAAGACTTAATCGTTCAAAATAAAAAAAAATTGTTTAATTTTTTATACTTTCTCTAAATTTTTATCACATTAAGGGGCTGTTTGGCAATTGCTGAATGGTTTGGTGCAAAATGATTAAGTGGTCAGAATGATTAAGAGGCTTTCATGATATAGTGCAAAATGAAATATAATTGTTTGATAGTTATGTACAATGAAATTATGGCTCTTAATGGTTAACGGAGATCCATGATACAAAATCATTCAGAGGGTTTTGGAACCATTAAGAGGCAGACCTTTTTTTGCTAAACAATATTCATCTCTTAACGATTCAGAGTTGCCTCTTAATAGAACTATTAAAAAGTAAACAAACAATCTCCAACTTGTTTTTACAAGTTACAATAATATATTTAACCAGTTTTAGAAAGTTAGATTTTTTAATACTTTTTTTAAAATAAATATAAAAATCCTTTCTTTCTAAAAGAAAAATCCAATCACCGAGTTGGATCATTTTCTCCGGATGATGGGGACGATTGACGGCATATGATCCACGTACCTTACACGGTTACACCTTTAACGTAACTAATGACGTCATCGTCACATACAAAAAGATTCGATATGAACTATTACCATAATAATTCATGTAACGACACAAAACAAATATTATACCAACACCTTTTTGTTATCATAATACTGGACTATATAAACATATATTTCATCCCTTTCTAACCACCCATTTCGAATTTGGAGCAAAAATTTTCACTGAGATGGGTTCGCATGATTCACTTTGATACGTAGAATCTTTTATCGGAGCTGCTGATTGCATATTGATACGTCGAGATTGGATATCGATCTTGCGACTGATAATTCTTGCAGTGATGGATCATAGATTCTCTGGTGGTATGCATGGTATGAGAGGTGAGAGGACTCCGTTGCTTAATAGGAATGTAAGTCTACATGAACTCTGAATTAGAATGTCTCATTACATTTTTCTTGTTTCCTACTTTCTATTAACTGAAATTCCTCTTCTCCTCTCAATTCTTGGCACCGTTCTTGACGGAATTTTAAATTATTGAGTTCTAATCTGTGTTTACGCATGCGTTCATTACTTAATTGGTCTGATTTGGATTTGGGTATGTTTCTATCCATATGAACATGCCTATTTTGATTCAAACCATTGTACTCCCTGTGGTTTGAATTTTAGAATCCCCTTACCTTGAATGTGTCAGTTTAACTAAGCCTTTTAGAACAAAATAACTACACAAAGTTGACTCATCTTGAATGGGGAATTATGTAATTGAAAGGTTTTGTGGTTGGTGCTGTATTTACAGGGTCTGAGGAGAAACGATCCAGAGGCAAACGGTGAGCAGGGTGATCTTGAGATTGGAGATGCTGTGCCGGTAAGTGGGTTTATCTGTCTACTTATGTTTACACACCACAAACTGTTTGATAAAATGCCTAAGTGAAAGTCAAGATAAGGTCTTTCTAACTCCTTCATGAAAATTATACAGGCTGCAAACGTGAGTTATGTCCGAGTGATCTCTCTGGTAAGTGGATTCTATTTTGTCGTTTCGTCGCTTTCAAATGTTGAATTATGTCTTGTTTTCTGAAGTTATCGGGGCTGTTAATTAATCACTTAACAGGCAAAGCCAGAGGCAGGAAGGTTGATTGTCGGTACTATCGCGTTGCTAATTGCGTCCACCTCAAGTATACTGATTGTATGTCTACATCTTTTCCTCTCTCTCTCAAATGCGCACACAAACACACATGAACCAGATGTATGCATGAAAACATCTCCTCAGCCGTTCTTTATTTTAACATAAAATCCTTTATGGTGCATAATTATAGGATATAATTATGTTATTTAGCATATAACTGTATTGTTTACATTGCAGCCAAGGTTTGGTGGGACAATAATTGATATTGTTTCGGGAGATCTCCAAACACCTGAACAGAAAAGTGAAGCTGTAAGAGAAGTCAATAAAACCATATTAGGAATCCTTCTGATTGTCATAATTGGGTATGACCATTTTATAAAGCTCAATACCTCCATTTTTTGTGTGGGATTTACTGGGTTTGTTGGATTTGGTTTACCTCCGTTTTCTGTGGAGTTAATGCAATTCAACTTAGATAGCATCTTGTGTAATTTCCAAATCAATTTTTGACTGGTTGCTGTTTTCAGTTCAATCTGCACAGCACTTCGAGCGTGGTTATTTTCTTCTGCAAGTGAAAGAATTGTTGCTACGTTGAGAAAGAATCTATTCACCCACCTTGTTAATCAAGTAAACATCACTTCCTCTTGGCAACAAAAAGGTATTTTGCCTACTTTGTAAAGGCTTCACTTACCTTACCAATTGATATTTATATCATTGCAGGAAATAGCGTTCTTTGATGTTACACGGACAGGGGAGCTCCTTAGCAGGCTTTCTGAGGATACCCAAATCATTAAAAATGCTGCAACTTCAAATGTTTCTGAGATTCTTAGGAACCTTTCTACTGCATTTATTGGGCTCGGGTTCATGTTTGCTACATCGTGGAAGCTAACATGTAAGACCACCAATTCAGAAAAAAACAATGAACTTGAATTATGTTTTTTAACAGTTCCAGTATGCCTCTTATAACTTGCTGTTATTTGCTTGTTATTAGTGCTGGCTTTGCTTGTTGTTCCGCTAATTTCAATTGCTGTACGCCAAGTTGGACGTTATCTTCGCGAAGTTTCCCACAAGACTCAAGCAGCTGCAGCTGTTGCTTCCTCGATTGCTGAGGTTTGTTTGTCCATTTTAGCTCTAATGTATTCTGTAGGAGATATTTGATTGTCATAACCCTTGGTAAATAAAACATGGATATGATAAAAACTGTTAGAAGTTGAGACTTTAGTTATAAATATCTTGGATACCATTCAACAAAACTATTAATCTTATCAAACCAAACCAAAACTAAACCAATATCATCAATTTTGTAATGAAGATGACGAGCAAGTTATTTTATATTAACAAACTTCCCAAGAATGTAAACATTCCAATTTCATGGGATATATCAGAAATGAAATTGTATTAGTTTCATCGTACATCTCAAAAAGGAGATTGTTGTACTTTCATGGGACATACCGGAAAGGAAATTGTTGCAATTTTTATGGGATAGAGGGAATATCAAGTATCAAAAATAACTTCATCTTAATGAACTTGTTCTTGCTTTGTAGGAAACTTTTGGTGCCGTGCGCACTGTGAGATCTTTTGCTCAGGAGAACTTTGAGATTTCACGCTATTCTGAGAAAGTAGATGAGACATTAAAACTTGGACTTCAGTATGCTGTGAGTACTTAATCCTCTCTCTCCCTCTTTTCACACACATGAAGCAGCAATTACTTAAATCTCTATGTTTTTCGGCTGCAGAAAGTCGTAGGTCTTTTCTTCGGAGGTCTGAATGCAGCATCCACACTATCAGTTATTATAGTAGTGATATATGGAGCTAGATTAACAATAGCAGGCTCTATGAGCGCTGGATCTCTGACATCCTTCATTCTTTATAGCCTCACGGGTACTCGAATAATAAACCAATGCCCTTTCTGGTTCCTGAAAGATAAATGAATTTGAATAACCAAAGTTTTTCTTGTGGAATTCGGTTGCAGTTGGAACTGCTGTGTCTGGGCTGTCTAGCATTTACACGGTGGCGATGAAAGCCGCAGGAGCCAGTAGGAGAGTTTTTCAGCTTCTGGATCGTGTTTCTTCAATGCCAGAATCAGGAAAGAAGTGTCCTATGGGGTTCGTTAGTAATTTCATTCATCTAAATATCTTGTCTTAGTTAATGATCTTTCCCTTCATCCAACGTTAAGGGGAAAACAGGCTCTTATGCTACTATTTTCCTAAAAAGTAACCGGAAGTTGGAATTTACCTATGAGCCCCATTGTATCAATATATTTTTGGTCATGATATTTACCCTATTGTATCATTATTAAACAGTAATTTTAGACACTTAATTGATAGTCGAGGGCTTTTATTAAACTAGTTGCATTATCTTTTTACAGTTTGTTTTTCAGATGCACAAACATAGAAGTCACTTAATCATTCTAACTACAAGTTGTATATAATTTTTCATTATAGCGATCACGATGCAGAAGTGGAGTTGGATGACGTCTGGTTCGCCTATCCTTCCCGTCCTCGTCATATGGTGCTTGAGGTAATTATATTGGCAAAAAAAATGCGTAGTTAGTTTAAAAGATGCATAGTCCATCAGATGGTTTGACATTTAAATTTGAAAATTTCAGGGTATAAATTTGAAACTGCTTCCTGGTTCGAAGGTTGCACTTGTTGGTCCAAGTGGTGGTGGAAAGGTAATACTCTTAACTAATTCTCTGTTGGTCGAATGGCAAACGTGTAATCCCCCTTCACGGAGTATAAGAACAGTTCGTTTTTTAATTGGTTCTGAAATAAATTAAAAAGATCATTAAACCCAACATTGTGCAGACAACACAACCTAGCCATTGTTAGATATTCCCTTTGGCACCATCTAGGAAGAGTTGGCGGGAGGAATGTGCTTCATTTTGAATACAAGGGATTTCATTTTAATCTCAAATTGGAAGACATTTTCTCTAATCTTTAACCTCAGTAACAACTCGTCCCACATGGATAGAAAATTAGATTTGTGAGCTCGTTCAAAGTTGTGGCTACAAATAACTTCCACCATGGTTTTAAGTTGATTTGGAGATTATTGAGATAGTCAACTAGTATTGGGCGTTACAATCTAGTAGTTGCTCCCTACGTTTTCTACCTTTCGGGCATTCTTTATGACATTTTAAATTTGGAAAATGACAACTTCTCAAGAAGTTCACATGATATATGGCTAAACACTCTTACTTTGTTTGGTTTCAGACCACCATAGCAAATCTGATTGAAAGATTTTACGATCCTGTTAAAGGAAGAATTTTGATCAACGGGATTCCTCTAGTAGAGATATCACATGAACATCTACACAAAAGGGTAACAAATTAAAGAGTCTTCTCTTGTGAGTTCTGTTTCCAAGAAACCAATTTGTATCTTGTCTAAAAATGCAGATCAGCATAGTGAGCCAGGAGCCTGTACTTTTCAATTGTTCGATTGAAGAGAACATTGCTTATGGACTCGATGGAAAAGCAAGCGATGAAGAGGTGGAAAAGGCAGCTGTACGTCCAAAAACACCAATCTTCTATTAAATGGTCAAGAAAGTAAATATTTTGGTTCTTATTAGCGGTCGTTTTGGTTGTTGATCTCACAGAAAATGGCTAATGCTCATGACTTCATATCAAAATTCCCTGAAAAATACAAGACATTTGTTGGTGAGCGTGGAGTGAGGCTTTCGGGAGGTCAGAAACAGAGAGTGGCGATAGCACGAGCTCTGTTGATGAACCCCAAAATCCTTCTTTTAGATGAAGCCACAAGCGCTTTGGATGCAGAAAGCGAGTACTTAGTCCAGGTGAATTTACTTTGTGTTTTTCAGCATCATAGAGAGATATAAACATTGGACCTAAGCTCACCTGGCTCCCGTTATTTTCTTTATAACACTCATAGACTTCGTTTACGTAGTCTTTTAGCCGTCATAGAAGGATAGAGACAAACGAGTATATCCCACCTCCACCTCCACCAGTCCACCCCCACCCCCACCTTCAGGTGGGATATGTTGGGCTCGTTTGATTTGGTTTAAAAAGATAGACACAAATGAGCCTAGAGTCACATTGTCTCACTAAGTCCATCTCCAATCTCAACACTAAAACCTACACCAAAAACACCAAATTTGATGGGCCCACCAACACTTTAAAAAAACATTAAATATGTGGATTCCATATTAAAATAATATATTTTATTATAATTTATTTTATATATGTTAATTTGTATTATAGTTAAATGGAATTGATATTAAATATATAAAAAAATAGAGTAATGGTGGGACCCAACCTTTTGCCGTTTTCAATTCACACGGCAAATATGCCATGTGAAAATCTTGGCCGGCAAAACCCCTTTTTATTTACCGGACGGTTGGAGCTTGAGAAACGGCAAATCAAGGCCGATTGCCGTGCGGTTGGAGATGCCCTAAGTTCAAAACAAAAAAACCGGCTTTATAGGATGTTGTCTAGACATCGTAATAGACAACTTTATATGACTTAATAATATAGGACCAAACAATTATGTGTCATATGTAAAGGTGTTATTATAAGTTGATTGACATTTTAGAATTAAAGTGTCTTGTTATATAAAGTATCCTATAAAAAGATGCGTTCATAGGATTCTTGTAAAAAATGTTTTATAAAAAATCTAACAAGACATTTTATTTCATAGTCCCAAAAAAACTTGTTAGGACGTCCATAAGCTTCCTATCAACTTATGTTGATACTTTTACAAAGGATGCACACTTGTTTTGTGTTATAGACTTAAGTTTTATAAAGCAGTTTCTTAGGACATTTAGACATATTTAACATCCTATAAAACAGATTTTTTTTGTTGCGGTTCCTTCACAACATACATAATTGACAAGTTTAAACGTGTTACTTTTTGGGTAGGATGCGATGGAATCGTTAATGAAGGGGAGAACGGTGCTAGTGATAGCACATAGGCTTTCAACGGTACAAAGTGCCGACACAGTTGCAGTTGTATCGGATGGAAAGATAGTTGAACAGGGGACTCACGACGACCTCCTAAGAAAGGATGGTATTTACACCGCATTAGTGAAGAGACAGCTACAACAAGGGGCTAAAACCGAACTCTAGATAGACTTCTAACTTAATAGTGATCATCTATCAAAGAATGACTCTGGTTATCAAAGGCTAGCTGCATAATCAAACAACAAATGCTCGCTAATTAAATATTTGTTCGATTAATTCAATACGCAACGTTTGGTGTACGAAACTCATGTTTCATCGGGCAACTATAAACATCGAAACTGAGATTGATGCAATTCTTCATATCTACAAGTGTTGATATGAATATCTTACATGGTTTGCTTTGTGTTTGCCGTAATTGCAAAATCTTCCTTCAACTGCTTATTCATCGAATGCAATATTGAATCATATTGACGGGTTTTGACGTATTTGCTGATAAGCACTTACAAGTCAACATTATAATTTATTTTATCGGGTAAGATTATAGTATATTAAAATGATACTGTATGCAACAATTTACCTGGTAAGCACTTACCCGGGTAAGTGTCGGCACCCTCACTTACCGAGTAAGTCTCTCCATTTTTATCATTGTTCTTACCATGTAAGATTTTTTACCCTTGTTATGTTCATCAGATAAAGAAAAGTACCTGATAAGCACTTACCAGGTAAGGGTTTAGTAAATGGCCCCTTATACTTTTTTTAAAAATTTAGAGATCAGACTTTAGATGTTGTTGAAACATTTAGTTGGGAATTAAAATATGGGAACAAAATATTGGAAATTAAGTTTGGATAAGCTGAATATTTTGACTATATATTAATAATCTCATATTTCAACTTAATTTTCAATATTTTGCTTGCATATTTCAGTTATCAACTCAAAAGATATGTGAATGTATCTCAATTTCTTTTATTTTTTTAAAAACTTGAGATTTTTAACGCTAATTTTTTGTGAATTTTGTAGTTTTTAAATAAATATAAAGATTTTTATTTAATATGTATTTTGTTTAAGATATTCCATTTGTGATTGAATATATAAAATATTTTTTAATAAAAAATTAAAAAAAATATGTGAATTACATTATATTTTAGAGCAGATTGCATTTTTGGTCCCTATAGTTTGTTCAAATATCAATGACTCCATCATAATGATTGCTAACTAACATTGTTAAGTGCATGGACCATGAGTGTTATAAAAAATAAAAAGTTAGAGACCACCGGTGTAAATAGTTTGTTTTAGAAATCAAGTCCAAAATTGAGCAAACCACATGGACCATCAATATAATTCACTCTTTTAATTATAATTAATCGACTTTGATTATCTTTTCCAATTTTGTAATGAGTTTAATTTTATTTAAAAAATAATTATTTATCAAGATTTTAAGTTCTACCAAGCGTTTTCAAGATAAAACACTACAACAAAAAAGAAATTATTGTACGTAATATAATACAATATCTTAGATCATTTGTTTATATTCTACAGTTGAAGCATAATATGTTGTTGCTGCTAATTGTTGTTTACAAGTCAGTTGATGAAAACTCAACTCAAAGATTATGACTTTGAGTTTAACATAATTCTAATCTATTACAATTCACAAAAAGTGCAATTGTCATTTCTGCAAATCAAGTGCAACATTCTGAGACAAAATATATTATTTGAAATATCATTTTATTAAAGATCATGTTGATTCTTTTAAAGAGTAGGTTGATGAAGGTCCACATACGTTCACAATGTACACAAATGAACAAGAAGAGAAACAATAATGATTGAAAGGGAACCAAAGAGAAAGACGAGACCAAATGAACGAACGACCGAACCCACAACCTCCATGGTTGCCATGATCATGGTATTCTTATCACCTGATTTCGAGTTGTTACGTTTCCCGACAATATCTATCATTCTTTTGGGTGTTTTTTCCAACTTCTCATTCTTCATCACTTTCTCCATTCTTGATCTCAACACACCTAGGTTTGCATCCACTATGTTCGACGGATTTCCTTAAAAAAATGAAACATCAGAATCTATTGTAGTTTTTTTTATCTAATAATCAAATATCTAGTATATCTGAAAGTAGAATCATAAGATTATTAGTTTTTATAAACTGATAAAGTCTAAATATGTATTTTGAATAGAAGTTAGTGATATTAAGAAACTATTACTAACAAATAAAATAACATAAATGCTAATGTATTTTTAAGAGTACTAAACTTTGTACTACTGAGATTTGTACATTTCCAATTCTCAAATGCTCCTTGGCCATGGTACAAGTCCTAAACCTTATATTTTTTTAGGGTTCCAAAGTTTTTGTTTCTGTTTTAGGCAAATAAGGGAACGATAAGTGGCTAATAAAACACGTACGAGTTTACTTATTGTGGTCAATAAGATAACGATAAGAGGTTCCAAGCTCTTATCAGTAAAAAAAAAAAATAACCTTATAAGTCTAATAGTTTATCCAATAAGACGTAAGCGGTGAATAAAAAAATGTTAAAAAAAGGACACCAAAAGGGTCTGAAACTTTGAATTTAGGAAACTTGATTTTAAACGACTTCATTCAAACAGTAATTTTGAATTTTCCTTGGTATTATGCTGGGTTCTTGAAACCTTTTTTTATGAAGAAAAGGAAAGGGAGAGAAATGAAAGAAAAGTGAAAAAAAAACTCGTATTTTTCCTTCATTTTCTTTCTCTTTCTTTTTCTTCTATTTTTTTTTTCTCAAATTCGAGAACACAACAGTAAAGTATTATTCTTGTAAAATACAGATACACAAAACACAATTATTTTAAGCATGAGTAATTATGGACACAAGTTGTCAAGTATGGACTTGTGATCGTTGATTTTTACATTAACGATTTCATAAATTACAAAAATTATTCAATTTGTTCTTGCAAACCATTGGAATGTATATTAAATACGAGTGACGATGGTTTTCGATAGTTTATAAAGCGAATTACTTCTTAATCATGAGAATATGAAGAGGGTTTCCTACCGAAAATTGGTTTTTTCCAATTCTTCTATCTCATTGCAATAAAGTTGGTTTTATAGAAAGTTAAAAATGTTTAAATGTCTTAATAGACTATATGTTCTATAACAAAGTTTATTGAACAATTTATTCTACAAATTTGCTATAAACTTGTAAAGAACTCCGAAAGCTTCTTGTAAACTCATTGTAACGTATAATTTTAATTATGATACACAATTGTTTGATCTTATAAACATAGGTCATGTAAAACAGTCTATTAGAACATGCATACATTGTTTACATCCTATAAACACGATTTTGTTACATTGTCTCTTCGATTTTGGGTGCTTGGAACTGTTTTCCACATTTACCTACTTGTTACGATCCGAAATGTTAACCACACAAATTAAAAAGAGAGTGAGTTTCAAACCTCAAATCCATAAGCTTAATTTTAAAGAGAGATTAATTTGCTTAATGCCTAAGCATAGATATATAATCACTAACACTTGATGGAAACAAGACTAGGGTTTCAAAACTCTCTCTCTCTCTCTCTCTCTATATATATATATATATATAGAGAGAGAGAGAGAGGGGTTTCCACGAAAAACTCTAAAAACATAAAAAAAATAAGAAACATCATAATAACCATTTGTATAGTATGTATATGTGCGTACAACTAATCGAAGATGTTTTCTGGTTTCTATGCATGTGTGCATGTTATGGACATATGGTTACTGGAAAAATTACTTACAAATTACTTGTATGTACATGTACATATTGTACAGATGAATGTCTACTAGAATGTTTCTCAAGAATATATGATATTATAATATAATAAAGTTTGTGGGTAAGATGGTACATGATACGTAAATTAAGTTGTTTAAATCTACGTGAAGCAATAAAGCAAGACTCAATTTAAACATGATTAGGGTTTCGAATATGGAAGCGAAAACTTGAAGAAACTAAAGGATTAATTATTTTCTTGTATATATGTAACAAAGGGAATGGTTTAAACGAGAACACTTTCATTTTACGAGAACGCGAGAACACTTTTTTACTATAGACAATCACATGTGATACTATGATTCCATCACATATGATACACATGTGATATTAAATCAGAGATGTGGACGATTTTCGATGCGATCTTGGTTGCAGGCCAAGTCGCCCTTAGACCACTAAGCCCCCTCACAAGTATTATTACATATGATAAGAGTGTTGTTGATATGATACTATAATTCATCAAGACCATCACATATGATGCTAAATCATAGACACAGACAACATTTGGCACGACTTAAGTCGTAGAACATGTCATCCATACATCACAGTGTCCCCTCACGCGTATTATTACATATAATAAAAGTGTTTTTGCATTCTTGGAGGTGTTCTCGTTTGAACCTCCACCATGAGTGAATGGTGTATATATATATAATGAATGAATGGTGTATGTATATATATATATATATATATATAATGAATGAATGGTGTATGTATATATATATATATATATATATAATGAATGAATGGTGTATGTATATACCTTCTTCATCCCTAAAGCTTTGGGATGATGTTATAACTTGAAGATATCTGTGTGTTTTTGGCTTGGAAAGCAAATTATAAGCAGTTGTGCCACTGAATGAGAAGAGACTAGAAAGAGAGGCTGAAGTTGAACCCATCATAATATGTTGTTAATCATGATGTAGATTACCAGATCAATTAATGAGTATTTATAGAGATACCAAATGTCAAATGTGGAATTCCAAACCACAAGGGTGCTGCTTGATTGGTTTGAACTTGATTTTAAAGGTCAAAAGTACTAGGAGGTGTCAGGTTCAAATCTAAGGAGGAATAAAAATCTTCTTGTAGCCACGAGGTTCAAATGCAGTGACTCCGAATTATCTGCAAAACAAATGGTCGTCTTGGAATTAGTCGACTCGCATAACGGATTGGATATCCAAGTTAATAAAAAAATTGTAAAATTCCCCACTTACCTAAATAATGTAATATAATATAATGCCACCTGTTTAGGGATTTGTATTCATTTTTTTAGTTAATTATGTGGCGTGTCGTGTATTTGCTACGTGGGCCAATCACATTTTAACACTTTTCTACTCTACTTTTTCGTTTTCACTTTACGTGCCCTTTTTCACCATGCCTTTCATATCGAACTTTCTTCCTTGTCATGTGTAACTCTTTGGAGGAAAAATCGGTTAGTGGAGGCTTTTTACATTTCGTTTAGTCTCCAAACAAACTGTTTAGGATTACTTATAAAAATAATTTATTTTGATGTGATATATAGGTAATAAGTACTTTTGAGTGTTTGGATAAACAATTTATACCGATGCCAAACCAGTAATAATAAGTTTTTGAAAAAATTAAACCCTTCTGAATTATAATAAGTTGATATGTGTTTTTTATAGTAAAATATAAGTTGTTTCAAAAAGCAATCCAAACACCCATTAGATATAGATGGTTTTATATGTATAAAGGGAGAACTATACGAAAATGTTAACTATTTTAAGACAATCTGAAAATGGTTAAATCATGCTTACATGATATTATATTACCAGTAAAAAAAGGTGTGCGATAGACTTTGGTTGTGACTTTAGATCGCGGGGGAAAAATGGCGTGAATCACATGTGATTTTATACGTGATGTTAGTGTAAAAACACATGTGATTCAGCTGTTTTTTATTCTATTAAATAAGTATTGTTCTCGTTTGAACACGACTCTCTCTCTCTCTTCACATACATACATACATGCATACATATGCATGCATGCATGCATACATACATACATACATACATACATACATAGGGAGGATTAAACGAGAATGCTAATTATTTAAGAAAATAAATGGACAACCCTTAGCCAATCACTTTCAAGAAATAAATTTGAAAATGATTTATTCCAGAAATCAGATTAAAAGGGTATTTTGGTCATATCATTCGATTGATTAATTTAGGGTAGTATTTACTCCCTTTGGGATCCCAATATCTCATTCAAATCAAAATGCGTATGTATCGTCTTCCTTTTTTTCAACCAAATTCTGATTTTGTTGAGCTTTTGTATGTGATTTTACTATAACTTAATTGGACATAATATTCTTATTAGTTTGCATCACTAAATCACATGTCATATTATACTATACTCGGGATGTTTTCCAGAACTTAGACATTTATCCAAAAAACGACTATCGATAATCAATGGTGTGTTTGCTTGTGTTTGTGGACCCCTCGTCAAGACCAACAGGTTGATCAATGGTGTTACTGAACTTCCCAAACCCTCTTGACTTCTTGGCAATTCTCTAATTTTTCGAACTCCTTCGATAAAAAACCATGTTGTTACCAAAACCCTTGTGTTTAGTTTCAAAAAATAAAAATCGAAGATTGAAACAGTTGTACATACCTTGAGCATTCATGATTAAGTGATGAAATCGTGTAAAACGAGCTTGGGCTAAACCGAGGTTTGCGAGAATATAAATGCAATATAGTCCATTATGGTCTTTGATGCAATTTGAGTATCTTTCTTCAAGGTTTCAATTAGATGAAGGTGGCGTTTGAGAAATTTTTGGGAGTAATTGCTTTGGCCGATTTGATAGGGATAGTTATTGCCCGTGTGAACATATCAGTTCAACCACATCTTTTTATTACCATTTTACCCCTAAAATCATTACACCTAATTAGGGGTTGAGATTCATCCCTTTATTTTCTTAAATAGGTATCATTCTCGTTTGAACTCGATTCTCTCTCTGTATATGTGTGTGTGTATGTCGAAGTTCTGTTAGAAACTTGAGAACCGTCCACAACACGTCAAGTGTCCTTTTTCAGGATGAATATTCATCATTAATAATATATTCATATGATAAATATAGAAGTTTCATTAATCATGTCATGCATTCATGATGAATATATTACAACATGTTGAATAACACATTCATATTCATAATAAATATGTCACATATGGTGATGTTGCGATCCGCGGGTTCCTAATCAATTTATATATATATATATATATATATATATATATATATATATATATATATATATATATATATATATAACGATAACCAAATTAGAACCATAAAAATATTGAGAAGCATATAAATCAATCTAAGTTATTTATTGATTTTAATCTATAGACATGAAAGACAATTTCAATTTTAAAATAATTTAGAAATTTTCAGTTTATTATGCACAAAATTTGGAACTAAAAGGGCATATTGGGGTTTTTAAATTCAATCAATAATTAAGCAAATGGGCTTCATCGGCCCACCACCTGACTTCATCATCCCACCCCAACACATATCCACCAGTATCCTCCCTTTAGCCCCATGGACCAACTGTCTTCCACCACCTAACTCAATTCTCGGTCTCGGGTTCAAATTGAAATAGGAATAAAAATCCTCTTGTGATTACGGAGGTTTAAATACGATGACTCCAGATTATTTACAAAGCAGGTGGTCGCCCTAGGGTTAGTCGGTTCGCATAGCTGGTTGGAAATCCAAGTTAATATAATTTACTTGTGATGAACATTGTTCTGATTTAGCGTCAAAAGTGTCACAATAACCTAGCCAATGGTTGTATATAATGTTGTAATGGTTAATTATTTTAAACAAGTTGAGTAGGCATAAAGCAAAGGAATTAATCACTTTTCAACCAAACGAAACAATCCTTTTCATTAGAATATATACATACAACACACACACATACACACACACATATACATATATATATATATATATATATATATATCGTGGCATCCTTCCATTCGAAACATGGTCGTGTCTTGATGCGGGGTGGACACCTCACGAAGTGCCCCACTCGCCGATTGTGTGTGGTTGCTCTTAGATTCGAACGCATGAAAATGTAACACACTTTGTTCTGAATTCTATTGTAATAATATATAGTATTTTCAAAATCTTTATTTTAATATTTGACATATGACATCTCAAATGTTTATCAGATAAGTTGAAAACGATGAATAAGATAAGGTTTTTGATAACGTAAAATACCAAATAATTAGTACACCTACAACTTTCATCGATCATTAATTTATTATTAATTAGTTTTGGTGTTAATGGATCACAAGAAGACACAAATTATTGATTAAGCAACGAAGTTTTTACGTGTGGAATTAAAGGGTATCATCAATTATTAACATATTACTATATATTATGATTATTTGTGTGTATGCTGCTACTGTTATTATTTCTGAATGAATAAGCCTTCCGTCTTCAGTTAAAACATTCTAATAATATAAATAAATCAAAAATTTAAAGAAGATAATAATTTATAACAATACTTGAACTAAATAATATTAAATTAAACAAAATTAAATAAAATGTCATTACAAACAATTAAATCAAAACAACGTTTACTCGATAAGTATTTATCGTATATAATAAAGTAGGGCTTAATGGCTTGGGAGACCAAGACCCTTGTGCTTATTTTAGGATTGGATGTAAAATTTAGTATTATTTTAATTAAATTGTTATTTGGGGCTCTGGCCTCACACTACCACCAAAGACATCAGGTCGAATCATAACTTAAATTAATATTATATTTATTTCAATTTTTTAAGAGATTATTATGATTTTTGAGATAACAGAGAATATATATTAAACATAAAAATGGATTCAACTTTAAAAGATTAATAATTTTAAATTAGACCTAAACTCTTAATAATTTGAATCTAAAACCAAACAATTAATAGTTGAACTTAAATAATTTCGTCTATAGTTTTAGACAGGTCGATAAAAAGACCCTAAAAACATGTAAATTTGGGTCCCAAAATTTCGGATGCCCTGTTTAAATCTCACATTTAACATGTTAAGGGACGACCCTAGACTCTTTCTTCGTTTCTGATTATTTAGGAATCAATATTGTGTGTTAGTGTAATTAGGGATAAATATTTTAGTGATTGTTTATGAGTCTAAATATTTTGAGGCATACTAGATTTTAGTTATTGATATTGTTTGCTAATTGTTATTTTTGATTGATAATTATTACGTAGATTAAGACTGAATTATGGTCCACTTCAACCGACATTTGTCATATATTCAAGATCTGGACTAGAAACTCATAAGTGTAGCTTTTAAGCTCCTTGGCTAATTTATATCCTTAGATTGAAAGTTCAAAAACTTTAAATGCAACATAAAATGGAAGAGTTTTTAAATTGCTTGTTGCTTTTGTTTACCAAAAAATAAATTGCTGAAATTTTTAGTTTGAAGGAAATTGTTCAAGATTTCAAATATGACAAAATATCGAGAAGTTCCATTTTGATGAACAATTTTCGAAGATCCCATATTGTTTGTCTTGTTTTAGAGTTTCAATATGTTATAGTTTGGATAACGCATATTTTTGTTTTTTAAAAGACATATTATATTTTTATCAATTTGTAACTTCCAATTTAATTATACCCGTTGATTAAAAAATGAATAATTTAGATGAGTTTATAGATTAACACTAATTAATTAGTTTGCAAATGATTATGATTCATATATATCTATTTTAGAGAAAGAAAACAAATGGAAATAGTATATAATAAGTGTTACTGAAACAAATTAAGATCATTAGCCTCTACATCAACGTCTATTAATATTTGATAAAATTTTCATGGTTACTATACGTTACTATCAGTTAAAAGTATGTTAAGATTGCAGGTTAAAATTTTACAATGGTTTTCAAGTTGATAAATTTTAACATGTTCGGAGTTGATACACCGTGTCTTTGTATAGATGCCAATTTATGATAATACGGTCTGTTTAAGCTATCGTTAAGCTCGGTGCCCGTCTCCAAATTGTCACTCAACTTCACCTTAATTACAATTATGCCACCACGTCCATCAGGTTCGCCGGATCGGGGAAGCAGAGGTGATTCCTACTGTTTTCACGGAAGAAATTTCCCTACATGGTAGTGATTTTATATATTCCTCCAACATATTATACATGCCACATTGAAAGGACATAACACCAAATACATAGTTCCCAGAGAATCAAAAAACAGAAACATTTTAAATCAGTTATAAAGCCTGGAGCAAGTTAACCATTAGACAAGTGACCAACTGAAAGTGAGAGAAGCAACAAGATCTTGCATTCCTACTCACAATCAACTGGCTGTTTCTACATACAGGCTTCTCTAAACCTCCTACTAGTAAGTAACCAACCAACMCAAGTTTTACTTTCATCCCAAACTACACCTACATACAGCAAGCAGTCAGGTCTACCATTTTGTACACTAATTTGAGGTCCTACACATATATTAACATGCTATTTTTCCACATCACATGTCCATATCGTCAAATATTTCACCATCTTCCTCGTAGTATCCATCCGCAGGAAACCCGTCACTCACCAGGTTGCTGCATGCAACAGATATCAATCTATGTAAACCAACATTCCACAACCTCATTTATTTACGATAATATCTCAAAGGAAGTTCAAAAGATCACCTTAAACAGCTGAAACGAAAGCTCACAACACGCTTGAGTTTTCTATTGTAGAAGAAGAAATTGTATGACCACCTGGGAAAATACAGAAATAAGTCAGATATAAACAACAGATAAACTAGAAAGTGGATGAAAACAACATAATTTTCTTACAAAGCTCCTTTTTCTATGAATGGATCAGCATCAGAGTTGGGGTCATAGCTATAAACTTCACATTCTGCTAGGTTGATGACCTGAAATTTTGCAAAAGGAATCAACATCAAGCCCCATGATGCACCTGAGGATGGTCGATGCATGGTTTTAGAATAGATTACCTCGTCTAGAGCTTTGTATAAGGTTTCCAGTAGGGAACCATCTTCAGTTGCCTCGATCCATTCCTGAAACCACAAGTTACAGATGAGCTGAACCATATCTAAAGCACATGTCTAAACCCAACTAGATGGGTTTCTTATTGGACCATTTACACAAGAGCTTAGACCAGTCTAGTCTAGACCAACCCAGATGGGTTTTTAACGGAAAAACAGAAAGACAGCCTTAATCCATGTTCTCCGCATCTTCATCATCCATGCAGGCAAGAGAATTTATATTGCAAACCTGATGCTATTAATGAATTACAATTTCAGCATGATAAGAAACTTAATTACCTCAGAGACATGAACATATATGCATATATGAGTTAAAGCTTCTTAGACTCCTTACATTGCAGACCTTCTAGAATGTTGACACTTGATGTACTATATTAAGTATACTGGAAGTACCTTAGATGCATCAGACATGTAGCTGTCAAAAATTTGCTTAAAACCATCCCAGGTTTCCTCTGTGAAAAACTGGTGAGCTTTCACTGCACTGATAGACAACAAGAAGATATTGACAATATCATGAAAAACAGCACAGAAACAGTTGTGTACTAATTTTGATCAACATCTGATCTAGCTCAAGAGGTTTTTAAACCTTAAAACGCTTGTGTTCTTTAATTTGTTTCCTGGTTCTTGTTCCAAGAGTAAAGAGGTTCCCACCATCTTACTTGTCGAAGCTGAGAGGCATAATCTGGATTTCCGTGGCTGTTCTTTCAATTAATTTTAAGAATTTCGTTGGTACTTCGCAAGAAGCTGTATTATTAGCATAGTTGCACATAATAATACAGGATCCAACTGACAATTTGATTTGGGAAATGGAGAGAATTGAACTCTCAGCTCCACCTAGAGCAACAGTTCTAAACTGTTTGTCAAACCATTTGACAACACTCCCAATGCCATTAAAGAAGGATTATGTAGTGGGTTGCCATGTCGCCCATAAAGCTGACAGTGTCATTACCCATAACCCTCCTTAGATACTCGATATGTGGACAATATTGCCTCAAATGGATACATGTAATATAAAAGCAAAGTTACCTGAAGTCATAATCTGGATACATGTGATATAATGTGAGAATCAGATAGATCAACATCTTTCGGCTGGAATGCACATGAAAGAAAACCAAATGAGACTCGATCTCACCACTCACTAGACCTACACTTAGCGTATCTAAATCGCATCATCACCTGGATCTACTCGAAAGATATTCAACCGGTGAGGCAGAGTCGACATCAGGAGAGTTCCCAACATAATCAAGAATCTGAATTGAAACACAACTCAGACAATTTATTCGCATATATCAGAAAATTGGAACATAGTTGTTTTTGGAAGCTATTAGATCTAAAAATAAAAAGTCAGCTAGAATTGCAAGTCTTCTTGATTACTCGAGATAGTGTTGTTTTATCAAAGATAGATTATAACGTTTACAAGTATATCAATGAGCTAGTTGCCCACAAAAAGATATGGATGAAATACTATGACAAATGGAGGCTCGGGATATCCAATAACGAGCCCATTGAGAATTACAACAGCTACAGGTTATTGAATCCATCATCATTTTTTATTATTTTACTAGAACAGACAAAACACAACAAACAAATCCAGAACCAATACCTCATTTTCTAAACTGAGAGAAAGCCTCTTATCAGTTCCTGTATGCTTGCCTAATCAAGTACAAAAGGATATTTCAAAAAATTAAATTCTTAGAAAAGAAACTAACAATTATCCCAGAACACAAATCCTACTCACAGGAGTAAGCTTCAATACATCCTTTAATGGTCCTCTCTCCAAGATTTAGGTGATCTAGAAAAGCATTTATTCTGTGGAAGAAGCAACACACTGTTTTAAACGAACCAAAAATACGAGAAAATTAAAGAAGTCCATTATTATATGAGAACATAATGACAAAATACCGCTCGAAAGGGGTGTATTCCAAGTACTTCATGACGGTTAATGATGTAATACAATCGCTTCAATATGTGCATACGTTCTCTGAATTGCACCTTTAAAAAAACTCCCTGCACTACCAGAGGGGGAAAAGGGAAGAAAATTAGAAATCAAGATCAACAAACTACAGATCCCCTGCAGCCACAATAATCGCCCTGAAATTGAATAAGGTATGTGGCTCTTATTAATAACTTTCCATGAGATGCAACTTGAAACTCCTACAATGTCCCAATAATTTGGCATTGCCCATTATATATTAAAGATTTAAAATACATACAATTACTTACATGCTCAATCAGCAGACATAAATTCTACTCCATAAGGAATATTAAATCATTAACTTCCATGCATGAATGCATCTAAGAATGCAAGAACAGAAGTGAAACCATAGGATCTCTTGATTCGGTGACGCAAGTCCCAACAATGAAATCATGATATCATAAAGTTGAAGTTGTAAATTCCAAATGTTCCTTAAGCATTAGCAACTACCTCCATTATCACTATAAATACACCCAACTACATCCATATCTTTTTGTAGACAACTAGCTCGTTGATATATCTGTTACTGTTATTATCTCTCTCAGGTAAAGCAACACTATCTCAAGTACTGAAGAATACTTGAAAGTATGGCTGACTTTATACTGTTAGTTCTAATAGCTTTTACAAACAACTTTGTTCGAATTGTCCGATTTCTGTAAAAAAATGTCTGAGCCGTGTTTCAATTAAGATTACTTATTATCCTGGGAACTCTCCTAAAGCGGATTCCACCTTGCTGGTTGAATTTCTTGCTAGTTGATCCAGGCGATGATTCAACTTAGATACGCTGCTAAGTGTAGGTCAAGTGAGCGGTGCCATCGAGTTTCATTTGGTTTTCTTTCATTAGTATTCCAGCCAAAAGATATTGATCTATCAGATTCTCACATTATATCACATGTATCCAGACTATAACTTCAGGTAAGTATGCTTTAATGTTATATGCATCCATTTGAGGCAATGATGTCTGGTTACCGAGTATCTAAACTCGTCGAATAAAAATTACATTTCTATCTCAAATATACACAATAATCCATGACTTTGCGTTAGATCTGAGAAATTTTGGGGTTTAACACAATAACTTGAAACTTATTTCCAGTTCGGCTAACAGAGATAGTAGATCCACATAAAATCAAACAAAATCGTGTTCTTACAAACAGTGAATCTGAAACAGCATTGAATTATACAAATTACAACAAAATTTCATGCAAAACAAATTGGATCTAAGAATACACATACCTGAGAATAGTTTCGAGAGAAATAGCCGGTTTGATAGAGGAACGAATGGAGACCAGAACAATAATTTTGAAGATAAGAACAAACCCTAGATAATCGGGAACTCCATCTGACGGAGGATTGGGTTGGACACTTGGCAAGCAGTCAAGGTGGTAACTGCATCCAACGGTAGAGGTTCTTCATTAATGTCAACGTCTATCTCTAGATATTATTTTCAAAATCGACAGCCAATGTAATTCCTATTTCCAGAGGAACATTTCCCTAATCAGAAATTCGATTTTATAAAATTGATCCCTCGAGTTTTCAAGATTTATCAAACATGACCCTTACACTTTTTAACTAATAATCTTGTTGTTTCGGTCCATAAATCCTCAAATTAATTTAGAAGTGTAGCCTAATTTATTTGGACAAAATGCATTAAAATGCAAGAAGTTTGGTTTAATTCCTATTTAATATAATAGATTTTATTTTTTCTTAATCAATATAACAAACTTTTAATACTGACATGCCAATTTTCTTTTCTATGTAAATTCCATGTCATTCATTTATGTGGTGTTTTTCTTTCGCATTTAACCGCTCCATCTCCTCCTCCCCTCGGGATCCCCTTTATCCCTTCATTACATCTTCTCCATGGACCCCCACCCCCCAATTTCTTCACATGTTTCGCCACGATCTCCCGTCTGTCCCTTTGTCCTTGCCATTCAAGAAACCCGCAATGATTCATAACTAGAAATATTATGTAAATCCAAGAAAACCCTTAAAAAAACACGTTCCCCTCAACCACTCTCCTTTTCTTACCACCACCGGATTAATATTCGAAACCCATAAATAGAAAATCAAATTGGGTAATAAGTTTTCTTGATTTTATAACGCAATCACGGGAAAAATTGATGGGTGTCCTCAAGTTGAAAGATGGTTGTGCTCAAGTTGAAAGATGGTTTCTTTGTGGGGATTATGAAAGATGGATTGAATGGAAATGATAGGTTTGTCATTGCAAAATGATGATAGAACCATGGCTTAAAAACCCCACATTTGTCTTTACATACCATTCACGTTTATTTACCTAAAACGTATTAAAAAAATAATACTCATATCACTGCTTTTTTGCATATGGCTAGTATTATTCGGTGATCAAAACAACCACAGAGTTTGTGTGAGAAGTTCTCATCAAAAAACCCTACAATAGGGATATAAAAGTCCATATGTTAATATAATTCTCGTAATGTGGCTTTTGGTTTAGTCATAAATTCCGTCTTGGACTTGAATTTGGATGAAAACGAGCTTCAAATTGGTTAATTAATGGAGGTCGGTCAAAATGGTTTCAGGTAAGGAAGATGGGATTTATAGTGTTACTTGACAATGTGGCATTTATGTCAGCAAATGTTACTAGATTATCAGGTTGCAGGCCAAAAAAATGTATAAAATAAGAAAAATGAAAGTTCGTTACATTGATTAAGAAAAAATAAAGTCCGTTACACTAAATATGAACTAAACTAAACTAAACTTCGTTGCATTTTAATGTATTTTTGTCCAATTTATTTTTGTAAGGTGTATAGTTTTTTTTTTTGTATTTTAAAACCAAAAACAAATCGTTTTATTAACGAAATTGATTTTTGGGTGGAACATTTCGAATAAATCAATGGGATTTGGGATATGCTTAAGTCTTAACTAGGAATATCTCTTGTAGGCCTGACCAATAAACAAATCGAAATTATAGCATAAAACAAAGAGTGAATTATTAATTCGGTACTTGTGGTATATCGAAAATTATAACTGGCATCTTTAAACTTGATTAATTGTGAATTAAATCTATATGATTGTCATTTTTCCATGACGATGATCCTCAAATCATATGATACTGATTCTGTTAACCCGATAGTAAAATTCACATTTTACCCTCTCCCACATTTTGATATTAGTTTTTATCTTTTAATTTTATATGTCATTTTTATTATTTTTTCTTTGTATATACTTAAAATGTACGTACATACAACGACAGCTCACCAAACACGGGGATGAATTTCTTCCCCAAACTCCGGCTCCACCAACCAACAATATTGGCATCGCCTTCACTAGTCAGCATTGTTTGGTTCAGGGCCGTAGTCATGTAAAGGATCAAATTCATAATTGATTGAGTTTAAAGATCTTAGTCATAATGTTCAACATATTATAGAGGCCAAATCCATAGTTCACTCTATCAAAAATTTCCATTCATTTCTTGTTCAGATAAAATATAAATAAATAATTAAAAACTATAAATTAATAATAAATTTAGAGTTAAAAAAGGCTCGTAAATAATCATATACAAAATATTACTATTCAAATTTAAATATAACATATGATAATAGGTTTATTATTGATGTATGTTATTTAATTAGAAAAAACTATTATATCATTAATTGAATAACCTAAAGAATTAAAGATTCTAAAGAAAATATAATTAGAGTTTCAATTGATTTTGAAAAATTGAAATTAATTTAGTCTACTAATGGGTTATTTAATAAGAAAATTGTTCTTGATCCGATTGTAGTGGAGGTGGTAGGCGGTGGGCACCTATGGTAGCAGTGGCGGTATCAAACAATGATGACCATTAAATCAAATATCATATTATAATTATATCATATAGTAGATTGGTAATTGTTTTAATTTTGTCTTATTTATATGAATTTTTATTCCATCTATTTTTATGGAACCAAAAGAAAAACCTATTTTAGGGGTTGTTTACCTAAATGCTTACCCGGTAAGTGCTTACCGATAGGATTCAACATTATAATTTGTTTTGATACGTAAGATTTTAGTACATCAAAACATATCGAATGCAACAAGTTTCTGGGTAAGTGCTTACCTATGTAAGAGTCGCGATCCTTACTTACCGGGTAAGACTCTCTATCCTTTTCATTGCTCTTACCCGATAAGATTCTTGACCCTTTTCATATTCATTCGATAAGAAATTTTATCCGATAAAACTTACCAAATCCGTGTTTAGTAAACGGCCTCTTACTCATGTAGTCCATCCATCTTAGGATCTGTCCCGCTCCTATTTTACACCAATCATAGAACATGAATTTTGTCATGTGGAGTTTGTTGTAAGAAATACAACATAAAGATCACTCAACCCATGCACCTGATACTACTTCCAGATGTCACACTTTATCCCCCTCCTTTGCCTTTCATTATTTTGCTTTGTCCCTTAAATTTGGGTGTTACGGTCAAACAAGTCAAAAAGTTGCACAAAATGTATTTAAATAGTTGTAACCTCCAAAATTATTTTATTTACGAACAATATATTATAATTTTAATAATACTAGAATCTTATTCGCGCAACGCAGCGAGATACATCGTGATTTTAATATTTTATTTTATTCTTTATTTCAGTCGATGTTATAATATGACTTTATGTGATTTTGAGAAAGCGATGATGTTTTTATTTTTGAATAAAATATATGTTTGAAGATATCATAAAAATTTGACAAAAATATATTCATATTAG